GTGCGGTGTCGTGCGTGGTCGGGCGCGTGTGTGTGTGTGTGTGTGTGTGTGTGTGTGTGTGTGTGTGTGTGTGTGTGTGTGTGTGTGTGTGTGTGGCCCAGGGTGCCTTTGTTCAGACGTGGGAGCTAAATTAAAGCCCTGATGCAGCCCCGGACACTTCCCTCCTTCACGAGGGATAAGCGTGCTTATTCCGACTTGGATATTTTGAGACCCTCCCGACAGGCCGCAAGAGGAAATGCTTTGCAAGGCACTTTGAAAACTGACTTTGAACTTCAGCGGCAATGCAAAAGGACCTAATATGTTAAGTGGGTTTCACACAATTTTTCTGTGGTGTACAGTGAACCCTGAATTAATTTTTTTTTCAGGTGGTGGGGGGGGGGGCTTCCCCTCTTCTTGAAAAACTCACTTGGAATGCTGCAAAAATAGTTCTTTGCCATCTTGTAACATTTAAATCTTGGTGGGCGGGTGTCAACTATTTGCGGATTGTGGCTATTCGCGACAGGGTTTGGTCTCCACCCCCCACAAAAAGCAAGGGTTCACTGTACAGCGATGCCCTGAGATAGACAGCCAGGGTACTCCACGGTACTCAGTCATATACTCTATTTTCTGTGTTGAATGACTATTAGTGTCGTACTGATGGGCTCAGAGAGGAGCTGAGACAGCTGATCATTTAGAACGAAAGTTATGGATTTGCCATTGTAAATATGAAACAGGATTAACATTTGATTGTTGGCATTGTCTATTTTTTAGCAGCTCGGCGAGTCAGCTCTTATCACACCACATTCCACAAGATAGTGTTCAGGATAACCTTTGCTGACTTGGATTGCAGAAAAGCACAAATGTATCCAAATTGTATGCATGCAACCCATTTGAGCCACAAACAGTCTTTTGACATTATATCCTGTAATGCATCACAAACCCTTAAGATATTCTTTATTTACAACCAGCAAAAGAACGCTCAAGTTCTTTGTTTTGGTGGGGGGAGTTTGCACTTGTTTGACAAGCTGTCATGTTGACACACAGCACTGACGCCACTCCACATTGGTGTGTTTGTAAAAATAGTTAAAAGTATTTTTTTTTTTTTGGTTCACAATCTGATAAATGTTCAATAAACTGAGTCTAATATTTGTCTATTTCTATTTTCACTTCTTCTGTGACAGTATTTATGCAGCGTGATGGATGAGCATGAATGTTTTGAGAGCTTCATAAAGATGAAGTGTTTTAAAAATTAAGCCTCGAAAGCAAAATAGTAACTTAATGAAATGCCTCCCTCTGTTGTAGAGGGTCAGTTACTACAGTAACAACTGATGGGTAAGCTTTGCCCTATTTTAGTTTTTATAAAAACTTAAAGGTGGCATACTACATTTATGAAAGAACAATTAAATGATTTATAAGCATTTGCAGGTCAAATGTTTCGAGATCAATCACGTTCCCCCCCTCCTTTTTTCCTTGTGTGTGGGCAGACAAATGGCATCACTGTAGCAAACTAAGGTATAAAATGTTTATTTCCTCAACCAAGCAACAGTGCTTAAAAAGAAAAACACTAAAACGAGCAACATGTTAAAATAAAAAAATATTAAACTTCCCAACATGTAGTGGCACGGGGACATTGCCTGTTTTCCTTAAGGAGGAAAAAAAAAAAAACGAGGGTCACACATCACTGGAAACTTCAGATTCATCTGGACTGTTCAACTGGAGTAAAAAAGAGAAAAGGAAGCAGAGTACAAAATTAAACATAAAAATTGTGAATCCTATCTACAAACCACTGGTGTCTTACTAATATTTCAATTGCAATCTCAAAATGAGGCTTTATAGACCAAGTAGTAGGTCCATTTTGTTTTTTTGCCCTTCAGTGGCTAAAATTGGGGCAGGTGTGTTACATCAGTAAAGAATTAGTCACCCTCCTCATTGCTGAGAAGACGGATGATGCAATCAAGCAGAGAACTCACTGTAAGTGGAGATATCAATCTCCTCTGGCAACTCAGCCACATTGACCTCGAAGCGGTCTTGGACCTCGTTCAGGGTCTTGGCGTCAGTCTCGTCGGACACGAAACTGATGGCCAGGCCTTTGGTGCCAAACCTGCCAGCGCGAGCCACCTGGTAGGAAGGGGACAAGAAAAAGGTGAGTGGGATTTGTGGCAGCAAGTCACACGCTGAGGGGTTTTACTGCAGCGCAACTGACTCTGTGCAGGTACGAGTCGGAATCCTCGGGCATGTCGTAGTTGAAGACAATGTTGACCCGCTCGATGTCCATGCCTCGGCCGAACAGGTTGGTGGCTACCAAAATCCGCCGCTGGAAGTCTTTGAACTGCTGGTACCGGGACAACCTGCAATAGCAGATGCAAAGAGCGACTTTTTTCGTATGGGGAACCTCAGGGATCCATTTTTGGGACCTTATTGTTCAGCCTTTATATACACTCCTGATTATATTCTGCAGCATTTTTATCTGTTGCTTAAAGGATTATATGTAAATATAAGCGGCATAGAAAAACGACTGATGGAAATGGTGTTTCCCCATATGTTAGCATTAGCAATGTGCTAGCAGACTAAAGGCGTGCGTGTTTCCATTCTTTTGACGTCTTAATATTTTAAATGCTTATTAAGGATTGTGTTCATATTCATGTTCCTTGTTCCTAAAATAGGGAATTAGCTGAACAAGCTCCCACCTCTGCTCCTGGCCCATGCCGCCATGGATGGCAATGGCCGGGAAGTTCTGCTCCACCAGAAGCTGGGACAGCGCCACACAGCGATGCACCGACTTCACAAATATCACCACCTGACGAGACCAAGTCACGCCACGACAGTAAGGATTTTTTTTCCCCCCCTCCCCAAACCATTTCGTCTCATTGCTCTGCATGTTAAGAACTCCATACTTGGTTGAATTCGAGCACGTCGAGCAAGTCGAAGAGCTTTCGGTTCTTCTCGCTGTCTTTCAACTTGCAGTAGTACTGCTGCAGGCCGTGAAGGGTCAGCTTGGTCTCGTCGTCCACAAACACCTCCATGGGCTGCACCATGAGATTAAATTAGTCTTGCATACCGTTACAGGTAACGTCCTTTTAGCATGCGTACATGTTGTCTTGTGCGGCATTAGAGCTAGGGAGTAATGCTGACCCTAACTTTGCCACTCAAGTGCATCACTTTAGCCCTCTGATATGGTCACTTATGGCACTGACAGCCACAAGTGAGCAAAGCTAAAGGGACACACTGCCGAAGAGTCGGCAAGTTTCATTTCAGCTTGTGAGGATAAAAAAAAAAAACTGTACTGAGATTTCTACGTACAGTAGAGCATGTCTCCAGGGTTGGACTTAAGAGTTTTCTGCTGTAAGAGCAGCGTTGTGTTTAAAGCTTACCTCTAAGATTAAAAGTGCATTTCAGCAAAATCTGTTTGTTTTTCACTGCCGTACTTGACAACTTACATCCTGCATGAACTTGCGGCACACCGGGCGGATCTCCTTGCTTAGCGTGGCGCTGAACATCATGACTTGCTTCTCGTGGGGAGTCAGCCGGAAGATCTCCTGGATGTCATGTCTCATGTCTGCGAAGGGACATGCAGCCACATTGAGATCATTCCGACGGCCTGTTCAAATGAATCTCCGGTCGTGGCAGCGATAAGTTAACTTAAGTTAAATAAGATAACACGCGACGACAGCTGAAATAGCTGCATTTAGACCATATGAAAAAATGTTTCGTTTTAAATGGGTTTAGCCCTCCAACATGCTTGTACCTCTGGCTGAGGCAATCAAATAGTTATAATGGCGTATTCTACCAATTATTTAATCGCATAAAAATTCATTTTGCATTATCAAACAATATCACACATGAGGTGGAGAGATTTTTTCCCTATGGTAAAGACAAAACAATAAATAAATCTATTACGCTTTCTGGTTCCGGTCGTGTCCCATCACTTACCCAGCTGCTCCAGCATCTTGTCACACTCATCGAGCACAAAGTGCTTGATGTTCTTCACGCTGAGGCTCTTGTTGCGGATGAGCGCCAGGGTGCGACCGGGCGTGCCCACCACGATGTGCGGGCAGCTCTGCCGCAGGACGTCCTCGTCCTTCTTGATGGCCAAGCCGCCGAAGAAGACCGACACTTTGACGTTGGACATGTACTTGGAGAAGCGCTCATACTCTTTGCTGATCTGGAAGGCCAGCTCTCGAGTGTGGCACATGACCAGGACGGACACCTGGAATGTAAGAGAGAAAAACACACACACACACACACACACACACACACACACACACAATTGGTTCACTTGAAATAGGAACACTTCAAATGCCACATATTTCGAAACTATACTGAAATTTTTAAGGCTTAAAAAAAAAGTTACTGGACAATGCAAAGGCCATTTCATGTGCAAGTGTGTGCAATTCCTTTGTTGTGTCATGACCAATGAAGCATAGAAAAGGCCTGAAGCTGCTTTGGATTCATTCAAAGCAGGAGTATTTGTTATTTGCATTCAGCCACCATCATTATTTATTAACGTTCATTGACGACGAGTTTTGATTTTTTTCCGCGGGTTTATGTACGGTGACATTGCGATTCAGACTTCCAGCTGGTGGCAGCGATGTGGCATCAGACTGAAAAGTGAAAGCTTCTGACCAATCAAATCAAGATGCGTTTGACATTGCATGCAGTCTGCTGCAGATGACAAATGATAATAGGCACTATAATAGAAAAGTGACACATATTAAACAAAAATCAACTCCTGTACTGTATTGTTGGTGGGATAAAAGGTGAACTTACTTGACCATCCACGGGTTCAATCTGCTGCAGGGTGGCAAGCACAAACACAGCAGTCTTTCCCATACCGGACTTGGCTTGACACAGAATGTCCATGCCCAGGATGGCCTGAGGGATACACTCATGCTGGACTGAAAAGACGAACAAATGCTTGGTAAAGAGCCTGGAAAAAAAATTCCCGATTTTTGACGGAATTAAGACTTGACCGAAAAACATTGTTCACAATCATATTGTAGAGTGTATCCACCGCTGCCATTCACCTTCGGATGGATGCTCAAAACCACAGTCAATGATGGCACGTAGGAGCTCGGGCTTTAGGAGGAAATCTCGGAACCCAGAGCTGTGGATGGATACGTACGACCCCTTCACGGCCTTTTTGTTTGCCGGGGTCGAACTCTCCAATGTTCCTTGGGGCTCCTCTTCCTCTTCATAGTCCAGAAGTTCATTATCAACATCAGGTTCAGTCATCTGTGAGGCAGTCAAAAAATAACCAGGATCAACTCTGCATGCATTGTTTATTTTAGAGCATTGTGACCGTCTCTATCGTAGTTCATATTATGGTCTTGTTCAAAAAGGCCTTTATACAACGCTAAAGTACACCCAGGTTCTCCCTAAGTGATGTGGTCTTCCTTCCTTAAAATGTTCTAACTCTGCTAAATTGGGATTCTCGTCATTAATTTAGAGAATGTGAATCACGACGAAAGTGTGTGTGTGTGAAAAGATTGTGGTGGGTTTCGAAGGGAACCAATCTCTGGCCGCAGTGTGTCCTCCAGGAGAAAAATATTACATCATTCCTGTTGTATTTGTCGAGCAATTTTTTTTACCTTTGTTTATTAGAACATATTTCATGTGTTTAATATACTAATATCTGCCTTTACATTAGTCGGTCCATTACACGAACAGCTGGTAAATTCGCAACAGGCGTCGAAACCGAGCAGGCCGCATCAATCGTACACGTACGTTTCGAATCAAATGATTATCATACGTCTCTATTTTAAATAAATGTCATTATTAGGCTTAATCACGACCACGGATTCCCTAGCGTGAAACGACGCACAGCGTGCTCAAAGGAGCGGTTTTTCCCTCGTTCATTGCAGCGCGTTTCCAGGCTAGCAGCTAAAAGCGAAGCACGACTTTAATTAATCAGCAGCGTATGCAAAAAATCATCGAGGCTGCTTTGATTTCACGTTTTGTATGTTTTAAAACGGATCAATTGTTCACACTATGGTGCTACCAAAAATACGATTTCGGTCGAAGACCTCGAGTGAGCGTTAACGCGGTTAGCTTGTCTCGCTTAGCCTACTAGCAAGAGCGCAACCATCAATTGCGGCCTACTTTATAAATACACAACAATTAAATTACCAACGAGTAAATGGAACCAGGCGATGCCTGTGTTCGGGCTTGTGTAGTGACTCGTATGTGTGGACATATTTAACGCCTGTAGATTACCTTCCAAGATCTTTATTCTTTGTTTGTCCCGCCGACGTCGATGAAATGACTCTGCAAGCTAGCAAGTATTCACGGCACAGTGAGCGGCACGCATCCGCGGTGCATTCATGTACCCAACGGAAACGACAGGGATCGAGGGACCTCCTTACTGTGTTATAAGCAATGAAACAAATGCAAGAGTCCAGGTAATTTGATGTTTCAATTTTACAAATATTATTTTGTATTAAAATTAGTTTTATGTCACAATTAATGCGTCTAGTAGTTCATCACAAAAAAGATTATCAGTAGAAAATGTACGAAAAATCCTGAAGTTATCATTCGTGGACGTCTAGCTGTTCAGAGGGAACAGCCGCGTGTTAATGCCACAAGATGGTGGCAAAGCATTTGAAACGGAGATAATTTTTAAGGTGTTTTCCTCCTGTGTCAGACTCGTAACCACCGATGTGAACACTCGCTAGCAAGCAGTACCAGACAACATTCACAGTTACTTAGGCGGCAAGGTGCCTCACAGTCAAGACGTCCAGAGTTCGGTTCAGAGCGTGTGGATTTCTCCCCGTGCCTGTGTCTTTCTACGGGTAGTCCAATTTCCTTCCACATTCCCAAAACATGCATGGCATAATAAAATATTTTTTGCTTGTTAGAGGTCAGAAAAGTCAGACTTCTCACTTTTCGGGAACTCAGCAATAGACCTTGCCCCCGCCCCCTGAGAACACCCGTAGAACACCGGTTATCTCCAAGAATGAAAAGCATTGCAAAACACTGAAAGTATGTTAAACGGATTCGTAAACAGTTGTGGCATTGGCTCAATTTATGATCTTGCAGTGGTCCATGTTACATGATCTTTTAATCCACTGTATGTTATGTATGCACGTACGAATGTCTGTATGTATGTATGTATGTATGTGTGTATGTATGTATGTATGTACATACGTGTGCACGTATGTACATAAGTACGCACGTCTATCTATCTATCTATCTATCTATCATCTATCTATGCATGTATGTCTGTACATAGGTACGCGCATCTAATCCTACTATGTCCATGTTTCTATATGTCCATGTTTCTATCTATCTATCTATCTATCTATCTATCTATCTATCTATCTATCTATCTATCTATCTATCTAAATTGCCCTTAATTCCTCTGCGTGAACCTCTGTGCAACACCTGCAAACCCCGCCTTTCGTCATAATAAATATCGACGGTGATTGGTTGTTGTAACCCTTCTTCTACGCAAGAGGCTGTAGTTTCAGAAGGTGATTGGCCGGCGAGTTGTCAATCATTTGCCGTTGTCCGCGCCGATTGGCTCGTTCCTCCTTCCCGAAGGCTGCCGAACGCCAGCCACCCTCGATGATTTCCTCATCGTGATTGATGCTGCCGTTTGCGCCGATTCCCCTGTTGAGTCGGCGTTGCAGTCATGTTTATTTCCGCTGATTCCAAACTAAAAATATATAAACGTTAACACACTGCTGGCATCTTTGATTGGGCTGACTCGATCACAGCTGTCGGGGCTGGCATCGCCGGGAGGGATGGCACTGCGTTGGACGCTATCCGAGTGTGTGTTTGTCTTCGACGGTCTAATAAATGAGGATTTTAATTAGCCGATAACACGAGCGGTGTTGATATTTAGGCGTTCCTGTCGTGGGTGAGACTGAATCTGCACTGTCGCGGAATGGAAAAACGCGTCTGGTAAGTACTGCACTTATGTTTTCTGTTTTCATTCATTTAGCTTGGTGACAGTGTTGTTGCGAGACCACCTTGGCAGTTCTTGTCAAATTGCACTGCTAAAGTACAACAGAGGCCCACCTAGCTCAAACATCGATGAATGTCGTCATAAATGTTCAAATGTTCCACTCTTCCTCGCTGCATCAGCTACATTCCGTCACATGTCCTCTCAAACAAGACGCCGACGTTCATATTTATTAGCACCCCCCCCCCCGTTTTTTTTGCATTATTCTTGCTTTATTTGCATGGGGAAAAATAATGTCGGATGGCCATGTTGTGTTGTCCTGCTCTCGTTTTTTTATGTTGTTACACAACCACGCTGCTGTCGTGGGAAGCCGGTGGTATCTGCACTCCCTCCCGGGAGGAGATGTGTCATTTAAAACCGCAGATGTTAATTCCGCCTCAGCCGTGGATTGACTGCACACAGCGTGCTGGCCTGTTCGGGTATCCTAGTTACAAAGCAGACCAGCTCTGATATCACCGGAGATGAGCTGTCATGTTGGTGACTAGTCTGTTATGGAAATTGTGTTGGACGAAGCATTAGTGGAACTCATGCTCCTCTTTATTAAATAGCTGACTAGTATTTTATGACTGGAAAAAAGAGAGAGTCATTTCAGGGACTCGTTCATTTGTCTTAAGTAAATGACATGTGGTACCGGACAAATGATTGGAACACAGCGGTTTGTAGAGGAAGAGCCACTATTTGGGGAAATATAACTAGCTTGCAGTTATACTTTGGGCAAAACATTGCTATGAGTTGTTTCTTCCTCTTTTTAGTTTTCAGGTGCAGTCATCAGAATGTACAGCATGGCCTCTGAAAGAGCCTACAACGTTTTAAAATTCCAAATGTATGTTTTCTTTTTTTTTTTAGGTTTTTTTTTTTGCAATATGTTCCACGTGCCTCTACTGGTCTAAGCACACATGACATACAGTGGACCACCGCATGCACGCAGTTGGGTACTCGCCTATTCGCAGATATTTTTTGAAATATACCGGTACTTTTTTCCCATTTCTTCCCCAGTTTTTCGTGGAAAACAAAGGATGTTTATCAGCGTTTTTTGGGGGGCGCGGGGGGATAATTTTTATATGTAAAATTAATGCGTATCAGACTGGTCTAAGCACACATGACATACAGTGGACCACCCCATGCACGCAGTTGGGTACTCGCCGATTCACTTATTCGCGGATATTTTTTGAAATATACCGGTACTTTTTTCCCCATTTCTTCCCCAGTTTTTCGTGGAAAACAAAGGACGTTTATCAGCGTTTTTTGGGGGGGGCGGGGGGATAATTTTATATGTAAAATTAATGCGTATCAACGGTTGTAAATTATAAGCATATTTTCACAATCCCCCACGAATAGTTGGGCCCAGCTGAGTTAGTCAAGGTCCCCGGAGGGAAATTGCTGCTGTGTATCCTCACCTGGAAAACTTTGGAAATCACTTATCCAGTTGACACATGACTACTTTAAATAGCTCTGCTTCAAGGGTTTGCTCACCAAGCCATTGATCATCGTCTGTTGGATGTAGTCTTGAACCTCCCACTGATGAATACAGTGAGTTGATTCTCAGAATTATCTTAAATCCCTGAAACATGCAAACGGCAAATCACACGTTTGGATCCCGAGGGGAAACTAATCTCTTTCTCACTTCCTGGTGATCTTGTTTATTTGTTGTTTTAAGCACTTCAAGTCTTTTTGATCTGATCTCATGGGCACAGACCCAAAGACAAAGTACACTTGTGACTCACCCCTTTAGCTCCTTCAATTCAGTACTTGCCTTGACCATGGATGGCCTCATAATGCAGCTATGTGGGAGTTAGAAAGTCATTGGGATCAGCAATCCGAATATTGTCCGCACAGCAATCCGAATATTGTCCATTTGTGCGACCGAGAAAATGTTGTGTATTTAAAGCTGGGTACAAACTGTATGAAATTAGCCTCCAGTCTAAACACGAGGATGATTTCAGCTCATTCTACTCTGGAAAAGCTTTGCAAGCATGTGATGACACTGAGGAGAGATGATTAAAGGTTAACAGATTGTTGAGAAGAGATGATTAAATGTTCACAGATTGTTTTCATGTCAAGAAGGAAAGGCACTGATTTAGTGGTGGGCAAGGTAAAACTGTCATGAAAAGACGATTTTGACAGACAAGATTCAATCTAACGAAACCGTTTTTTTTTTTTCTTCAAATGATCTGCTCAATTACATTAATCATACTTTTGTTGGCGTTTATTTATTAAAACAAAGTCACACTGAGTGACACCGCTCACAGTCTTTGCTTTTATACAAAAATGAATAGATGCGTGGCTATACAGTGTGTGTGTTTTTCTTTGATCACATTTTTTTTTCAGTGGATGTAGGAAAGTAACGTGAATAGTAGTCATGTAAAAAAAAATGTTATTCTCAGTGGAGAGCAATCGCTCGATGGATTAACACCCGTGCATGCAAAAAGGCCTTTACTCTCGAAATTAATACAATACTGGCACTGAAACAGGAGTTCAGTACATTCAAAGGGTGATTAATACATAAAAATAGAGAATTATTTTTGCCTGAAATCGGTCAAGGAAATTCCCGCCTCTTATTCCGTAAAAACGGTTTGAACTGTTTTACTATGTCAAAATGCGGTACGGGACACAGACTCATTTTCTTGAGTGTAGTTTTATTTTTCAAGCCACAAATAGAAACTTTGATCCAAAGAGCAGGCCACCCTGACTGGCTGGAGGCTTCCCGGTGTCGTGGTTCTTGAGCGCGGTGATGCTGCACTTCATCTCCTTTTTGCTGGCACAGAGCAGCTTGCTGAACTGCCCCCCCCCCCCCAAAAGCGGCAGCTCGATCTCGAAATGATTCGTCTTGTACTCCACCTTATTGTTCCCGCAGGCTAGCACTTTTGTAACTGGATCCGACGAGTCCCGTAGACTGTACACTGACCGAATTGTGCTGTGCTGTTCACTGCCTTCTTGGAGTCGTACCGATATGTAAACGCTGTCCAAATAATGAGGTGGGAATCAAAATATGGCTGTGTAAATGTTTGCCGGTCACGGCAGTTCAACTCACTCTGAAATGATTTCATCTTGTTGGTTCACGTTTATTCATTGCCGATTTGAAGTTGCCTGCTGGCGTCACCACTGATTCAAAAGGTCAACTGACTGAACACCCGGGAGGAAACATTAAATACAGCTATGGTTTGATCGCCCAATGTCATAGTCCAGGTATTGTTTTGAAATAGTTCGGAGAGGAGGATTTACTCATTGGGAGTATGTTTCACGTCATGAAGCGAAGAGAAATGTTTAGATGAGATATCGTATTTTTTTTCAGATGAGAAGTCGCTCCGGTGTAACAGGTCACACCAGTCAAAAAAACGCACCATGAAAAAGGAAAAAAAAAGATAAATGGCATTTTTGGGGGGGGATTCATTTTACAAAAAAAACCCTAAAACAACAAAACAGAGAACAAGAACATTAGAGTTTGGACTCACACCCCAAATCCCCATTCTCTAATTGCCTTGATGGCAGCGAATGAGATCTGGATGGATTTGAAATTTCTCGTTCTCACTTGGGAACTTTTGCCAACCAGAAGCTTAATTGCACTGAATTTTGTGACAAGCTAAAGTTGTTGCCAGGACACAAGCATTGCTTGTCCCTTTCTTAATATATCCAGTGTGGGAACTTGGTAGCTACAAAAAAAATGGGTCCGTGACCTACATCTGGGTCTCGACTCACCAGATGACAACCGCCGTTCTAAGTGATTGTGTACTGGTTGCCTTCATACAGATTTTTTTTTCTTCCCTTTCATGGATAACATAACCTTTATTAGTTCCACGCAGGGGAAATTTGCACGTTTACGTTTCAGGAAACGGTTCAGGACATGAAGGATTTTGTGTTTGGAACATAGTGGTATTATTATTATTTTATTGGAAAACAGCTAATGTGAAGGAGATCAAGAGTGCTAGTGCCCCAGGCAGCTCGCCAGATGGGCTTTTTGAGAAGCTTCTCTCTACCAAGGGCAAAGAATTTGTAAATCAGGCGGGCACATTCTGCACTGAAATGTGCATGCAGAGCACCGGGACAAAGGCACTCTGCCGGATAATGGCGCACAACCAGTCACACATGACAGTATAGGGACGTACAAGCTACACGATAATCATGGGCTGAGACTGATGAGTCACCTATTAACCGACTTGTCGGGACGACGGCAACACAACTTGTCTGGGCGGGTTTGGTTTGGGTTTACATTTGAGTCATCACGCAGTCATACGCGGTCATGCTCGCAACATCTGGGCTCGCCTCACTTTGTCTGAGGCCTTCACAGTGTCCTTCAAACAACAAAGTGCATCAGCAGCAACGTATCGCTCCGCTGCCGTCATGCATGATTGACACATTTCACACTCCGGCCCCCGACAATGAACAGTCCTTGTTGTTGCTGAGATGTCTCTGAAGGGTCACGCCGCTTGTCTGACAAAAGCAGACTGTATTCTAAATGTAGCGCCTTTTATCGTTATCTTGACTCCTGTTTCAAGGTATCCACTCTCATTTCCTGTTTCGGAGCATGTTTGTTTCAGTGTCGCATTGAGTCCTGCTTCGGTGAACCACTCATCTTGTCTACCCCGATTAGAAAGCTAACGCTGCGGCTCTGGTTTAGAAGCTAGGCTATGTCTGTCATGAGAAGTTGTTATACCGTGTTCATATGATGTACATTTTGATGTATTCTTAACCGAGAAACTCTGTAGCACCCGGATACTGTTTCTTGCTCCAAAAGTAATTGGTCTCATTGGCTTGTTAATGGCTCTTTTGATTGGGCTGGCCGCGACGCATGAATGCGTCCCTTGTCTCTTCCCCGAGCGCTGTTTTCTGTGTTGACGCTGTCGGTGCACTCCTGTCCTCGCTGTGTTTGTGCTTTGCTTGTTTTGTTTGTGCACTTTGGTGTCATGCTGGGTTGTGTCCTCGAATTTTTCTCAAAATGCATCAAGAGCCTTTTAAAACAGTGGTCTCGACATATTTGTGACGAGACATTGACTTGTCAGGATTGTCTTTGACACTGCCATGGACTTGTGTTCATAGTCCATTTGTTACTGTTGAGAGTTGTAGGCGATGCTCATACAAATGATCTGGCATCGAGTTCAAAATACAATGGAACATGAGCCATTCTGGGATACCGGTCCCCATTCCATTCCATTGTTATTCTTGTTTTGAATGAGACACACTTACTGGTGCTCAATGGCAACATGCGCTCCACTCATACCTGGCTGACTATTTGTTAAATTTAACTCGAGGCTAAATGTGCAGAGGAAAAAAAAAATAAAGCCGTATTTATTTTGGTTTGTGCAGTCGTATTTGAATCGTCATCACAAATTTGGCTGCTACACGTGAATTAATCCTGATCTATTTTTTTTTTCCCCAAGATGGCGCCCAGTAGGCAGCCGTCGGCAAGTGCTCTTCAAGAGCCTTGCTCTTTTTGTCGTTATTTTGTTGGTTTTGTCTTTTGTTTTGTCACATGATGTTTGTTGTTTCGTTGTGTGGAGCTGATGTGGAGTGTTTTCAGCGTTTTTTTTTTTTGGCCACGACATTTGTCAAAGGAGAAGAATATGTGCTTGGTGGTTGCGCCTTCTTGGCAGCACGCCTGTCCCAGCACTGATTTTGCTTGGGAGGAATGTCGGCGCCATTTGACTGTCGGTGCTGGACAGCCCCCGGGGTGCTTGTGTTTTTTGCGCCTGTAATGGGCAGCATTTTTCACAGGCCCGTTTTGTTCAATGGAGATGTCGGCGCTGTTGGACAGTCTGCGTTGGGGCGGCTGGATGGATGGCTGCTGACGTTGAGGATGAGGAGAGAGGAGCGTCGGCGCGGAGCGCAGATGCGTATTTGGAACTGAGAGTCGCCGCTTGGAATTGAAATGGATTTACATGGGACAGGAGAAGTGAACCAATCTCTTTTTTTCGTCAATGGATGCTACAGCTTCTTGTTGACTTTGAAACTTAGCTTGTAGCCGACGTGTGCACATTTTGAGCATGACGTCTCTGATCCGCTGGTGAAAGGACACTTTGAGTCTCTCCTCTTTCATCTCAAACTGCTTTAAACAACAAAGCGTGTGAGGGAAAAGTGGTTAGGATTGCACGACTGTCCGTGTTTTATGTTGTGTTTTGTTTCTTATTTTACTTTATGTTGACTGTTAAGCGCTTTGTTGCAGCTGTTGTGAAAGCACTATGTAAATCAGGATGTATTATATTGATTGATGGTGATACAGTGGCAAGGAAGAGACAACAGGAAGCTTAGCCGCAGGTAGAGGAAATGAGGATGTTGAGGCTTTCTTTAGGAGTTATGTTTGAAAAATGAATTCATTAATTAGAGGATGTATGACTGGCAAAAGTAGCACAGTTAGTCACGCTGTGTCTTTTAACCCTTTCGAGGACAGCCGTCACTACAGTGGACATTTTATCATGGCGTCAGGTTGCAGGTTATCATTATTGGTGTATGAAAGGGTTAAACACATCACTGGTTGCAGTGAGGGGGATATATATATATTTTTTTTTCAATTAAACACAATGGATCAATTTAAGGAGCCGCGTCTCAAAGACTGATGGTGTGTTTGTGGGTCGTCTTCAGATAAAGGCAGGCATGAAGGATTGTTTTTCTCTGGTATGTGTGAAATGATCACAAGGGCCTTTTTATAGCCAATGCATGCATGTGTTAAAAAAAAAAAATGGATGTAACAATGGAGAATTAAAGGAAGAAGAAACGCCGTGCGCTGAACTTGGTTAACATGAGCAAAATGAATGTTGTGCTCAGGGTACAAATGCCTTAAATAACCTGAAAATAAATAACTGGTGCGCGGTGGAGCACAAAAACACTCGTGGTGTTTTAACATTCATTAAACAAGTCATGGAAACAATGATGTAATCGTCTTGGAAGTCCCAAACGGTTCTTCATGTTCCATTAACTCGAAATGTTTGGTTTGAGTGTGAAATGAGCTTCCATTAATAACTTGACTGAAGTCCTCGGCTGTGAACTCTCTCAACTCGTATTCTTGCAGCTTTTCTTTGTGCACGTTATTCGGGCCTTTGCAAAACACCATCGCGAATTTCAGAATTCAGAAAGTTGTTTTAACTGCAGTGTGACAACTCGAGAAAAAGCCACGTTGGTGCTGAGTCACACAAACATCATTGCTGTTATTTCATCTTTGGGGGCGTCTGGAGCAGTGCGTCTGGTATACGCTAATGTTTACTTTTTTAGATTCAAATGAGCATCCGACGGTTTATCCTTGGATCAAAGAGGCCTTGGCCCAACTGTGGAAGGAGGCGGGTTGTTTATATACATTTAAATATCCATAAAGAAAATGACAAATTGAAATACTGAATAAGTTTCAAATATTTGTGCCCTATTTTATTTTATTTTTTGAATAAACTCGATCGCAGGCATTTATTTCGGGTCGGGTCTCTCATTGGAGGAGTATTGGCAATTGATTATTTATTCAGAACGGCAATGCGGTGACATCAAAACTTGTTGAAAACCTTCAAGAAAATCTCGCCATCCCTCTGTGCCAGGTTTGAAGACCTCTGATCCTATTGGCTCTTCGGTCAGTCAGCTGACATCCTGAGGAAGGAGAAACCAGCGGCAGACGAGGAGTTTACACTTGCGCCGCTTCCCTGCTCGGCAACAAGCGTCATGTCTCTAGCCAGCAGCAGCCCAGAGCGAGAGGGCTCCGGCCTGGCTCCCACACACCTCGACTGCTCCTCTTCCCCTCCTGGTTTGGATCCAGATCCCCTGTCGACGGGCAGTCCGGTCCTCAGCCCGGACTCCTCTTCCCATGATGCGGCGCTGTCAGCGCCCGCAATTTCTCCGGCAGACTCCGAGAACCTCAGTCCAGATGAACTGGAGCTGCTGGCTAAACTGGAGGAACAGAACAGGTGACAGGGCACATTGGTTGAATGATTTACAGTCCAAAGAATAGCAATCAGTAAATAAAAGTATTGTTCAAAACGTTTTGCTTTTTTTTTTTTTCTCAAATTTACTTGAGTGTTTTGTTATTTCTTTCAGTGTACCCCTTATATTCCTTAGTAAATGTGTCGTCCCACCACCCAACTACGTATTGCTTCCTATCCTTACTAATATTGTACTGGACTATTACTCCAAGGTTACTGGAGGCCGATTCAAAGTCCATGCGCTCCATGACGGGCTCACGGCGCAACAGCGGCTCTTCGCTGGTGTCGAGCTCCTCGGCCTCCTCGAATCTGTCCCACCTGGAGGAGGACACCTGGATCCTCTGGGGCCGCATTGTCAACGAATGGGAAGAGTGGAGACGCAAGAAGGACAAGCTCCTCAAGGTGAATTGCAGGTTGAGCTAATTCCCGCTGACTGCCTGATATTCAGCCACCTTTCTTTTGCCTTTAATCAACGAGCAACTCAAGTGTTCTCTGAGTGTACTACTACAGCAGGAAGCCAAAGGAAATGGGGACCTTTCTAAGGACAGGTGGAGTCAAGCAATTCCTACAAATCTTATTGATTTTTTTTTTTCCGAGTATACCGCAAAGCAACCAGCCCCCTCGCTTCAGTGATCTACACAAAAATTAAGTGATTTGTATTGCATTGATCTTAATCTAGAGGAGACGCGTATCATCTAAGGCAGCGATCCCCAACCCCTGAGCCGCGGACCGGTACCGGTCCGTGGGTCATTTGGTACTGGGCCGCACAGAAAGAATCAATACAATACAATACAATACAACACATCCTGATTTATATAGCGTTTTCACAACAGCTGCAGCTGTAACAAAGCGCTTAACAAAACAGTTAACATAAAAGTATGTTGTATAAAGCAGTTTGAGATGAGAGAGGAGAGAATCAAAGTGTCCTTTCACTAGTGGATCAGAGACGTCATGCTCAAAATGGGGCACACGTCGGCTACAAGCTAAGTTTCAAAGCCAACAAGAAGCTGTAGCTTGGTTCACTTCTCCTATCCTATGTAAATCAATTTCAATTCCAAGCCGTTAAAAGAAAGAACTTACGTTCATCTGAAAGATGTTTTATTTTGAAAAATCACCAAATTCTCTGTTACATCCGTCTACAATGTGTCACTCTTGACGCAGGTCAAGGCGCACTTCTCTGTCACGTGACAGGTTACCTCTAAAATGAAACCCGGGAGATAGCAAAATGAGTTAAAAAGAAACGTCTTTGGGCAGGGGGAAAAAGCCCAGCCAGGAGACAGAAGAGGAGCCTACGGCTTTCAAGCAAAAGAAGGCAACATTTAATACAGTATTAGGATTTCCTACTAAAAATATGGATTTATGTCAACGGGAGATTCCTACGCACCAAGCCCACTCTGCATAACATGCGGCGATGGTGCGTCGTATTTTTCATGAACTTTGTATTTGCGGTGTATCTTGTTTTGAAGGCACATTTAAACGTCGCGACCAGAGAGTGTTGCGGTCAGATAGGACGTTCTCGTGTCATGATTCGTGTTTATTATTATGTTTCAAATATCATATTATTTTGTCGTATTTATCCGTCACACGAAAATATTGTCTGACATTAAACCGGTCCATGGGGCAAAAAAGGTTGGGGACCGCTGATATAAGGGAACAAAGCTGAGATACTAGATGATGATCTACAGTATAAATGCACAAAAGTAGCCTCTCGGTCGCACTGGCCTTCGTGTGTGCTGCGCTGCAAATAGGGGAAACCTCCGATGGCAAGATGGATGAGAGAAGGGACAGCTAAGTGAGTCAAGATGAAATCAGAGCGGAAAAATAAGCAAGGAGTCGTTTAAGTGCATGAAACAAGGACAAAACATGGCACTGACAATGACATGATATGGTCTCACAGCTCCTTGAAAAAAACATGGCTCCTGAAAAGGGATATTGATTCAAACATGATAAGAAGGCTGGTGATTGTGTTAAAATAATAGTTGAGTCACTTTATTGACCAAACGCTAGCAAAATAAACATCTAACGAACATGCCTAGATGTGCCACAACTGGTGCCCTGCCACTCAGCACACCAGATGGGCTAAAGGTTAGCTAGTTAACAGCTAGCCGCTAACCCGGGCTACAAACGGCCAACTCTACATTCTCATTCATCAATTCCCATGTCACTCACTCAAATATTTATGGTGGAGTCCAAAAATTCTGTCTTTGAACAGATAACTACAAAAACACTGAATTGGACGCGAATGTAGCCAAAAGTGTGAACGTGTGTTTTTCACTTAGTAATATTAATCGAGTTGACTTTTAGCACTTGTGATGTTTTTCAAAAGAAGCATGTCTTGTATTTAAATATACAATATGTGTATTTTTGTTGTTGTTGTGTATTTAGTTTAAAGTAAACTCCAATTATAGTGTCATTAAAGTGTTTGAAGCCTGCTAGTTTAGATGGATTTCTTCTAACAGCCCTTTGAGGGAAACATCAGGCGCCTGTCTGCAACTAAATGAGTTTGACAGGGGACCTGCCCCACAAAACCCATGGCCAAATTAATTGGTTTAAATATTTAAAATGTGAGACGTCATGTTTTCTTTGTTTTCTGTATTCATGCATGAGTCTTGCATTAATCCGTGGCTGTGTCATCCAGGAGTTGATCCGGAAGGGCATTCCTCATCACTTCCGGGCCATTGTGTGGCAGTTGCTGGGCAACGCCACAGACATGCCGGTGAAGAATCAGTACTCGGAGCTGCTCAAGATGTCATCCCCATGCGAGAAGTTGATCCGCAGAGACATTGCCCGCACCTACCCCGAACACGAATTCTTCAAAGGTCAGGACAGTTTGGGCCAGGAGGTCCTCTTCAATGTCATGAAGGTAAAAACACATCAGCTTGGGATGTTTGACCTTGTGGAAGAGGCACGACTTCTGTCTTTTGCACTCAATATTGATGTCGCCCTACATGCCTGTATTCCGAAAATATCTCGACGATCAAATTAGCCCATATGCTATGAGTTGATGATATGCTGTCTGTACAGTATGCACGAAGGGTTGAACAATTCATTGAATTCAAATGGACGTTGCATTGTGTTAGAATGCAAATTTCAAATTGTCAAGGCGCAATTTGGGGAAAAAGAGGCTTTATTTTGGTCTGTCGGCTGGATTTGTTTTTATACATATATGTGTATAGTTTGTACTGTAGATAAGTTAAGTGCTTTAGAAGTGCACGTTTACACATTATTGTTTCATGAAGCGTGAAAACTTGAAGCGGTAAAGCCACAGCTTTGTTTTCACTCTTGTTGTGATCTGACTTACAACGCACCAATTTAAATTTGTAAATGTAAAGAAAATTTCAATGAATACCTAAATAGGGCAGCTAATTTAACGAACCAAAACCAACTTTGATCTGCATTTTTGCCTAATGATTGAATTTAGCGCCTATTTATTTTGCTTGTCTGGTGAAATATTGGGCATTTTGAAATTGCTGTCACAATTCTTGGGTCAGCTTTGGTTTTGTTCATTATGTTCATCTTTGAATTTGTCTTCCGGTTTTGACATGTAATCCCAAAGTTTTAAAAATATGTTTTAATATGTATCGTGAAGGTCATTTGCGTTCGTTTTTTTTTTCAGGCATACTCTCTTGTGGATCGAGAGGTGGGCTACTGCCAAGGCAGTGCATTCATTGTTGGCCTGCTGCTCATGCAGGTAATGCTGCCGGGGGTAATTTTTCTCACTAGATTAATCTGTAATAAATGAAAAAGAGTCCAATGTGGTCAGAGAACTTCTCGAGTGTTAATAAGAGCGCCACCGTGTGATACCACCGTTGCTAACGAAGGAACTCCCCACTCACAATTTTGTGCCAGATGCCCGAAGAAGAGGCGTTTTGCGTCTTTGTGCGTCTGATGCAGGAATACCGTCTGCGAGAGCTCTTCAAACCCAGCATGGCTGAACTGGGACTCTGCATCTACCAGTTTGAATATCTGCTACAGGTAAAAAAAAAAAGGAAAAAAAGGCAGGGGCAGATTACATCCACCAGAGGGCAGCAAAGTTGCAATATTTTTTTATTCTGACGTCTGCTTATAAAACAACTGTGCTTTTTTTTATTGTTATATCAGGAACAACTTCCAGAGCTTAACGTCCATTTCCGGTCCCAGAGTTTTCATACGTCCATGTACGCTTCATCTTGGTTCCTCACGCTCTTCCTCACGTTTCTCCCTTTGCCCGTCGCCACGCGCATATTTGATATTTTTATGTATGAGGTAGGAGGATGACATGATGTATATCCGTGTATTGAGTCAGCATATAAAACCAAGCTGTGTGACCTTCCTGAAGGGCCTTGAGATCATCTTCCGTGTGGGCATGGCCATTCTGCAGTACAACCAGACGGACCTCATTCAGCTGGACATGGAGGGCATGTCACAGGTCAATAATAATAATAATAATAATAATCCTAATAACAATGCATCAAATTTATATGGCTCTTTTCTGGACACCTGACGGGGGGGGGGGGTTAAAAACATTTTTTTTTCTTGAATATGTTAATCTGCGGGAGCAGAATCACGGGTATTCAGAGATCAACTGTACCAAATAAAATGCTGGTACTACTCTCACATTCATGTCCTTGGAGTCAAATACAACAATGGACCATTTTCATACATCTTAACCTTATTCGGGTCACGAGGGTTGCCAAATGCTGTCGAGTGTCCATAAATCTCTGACTTCCAACTCGTTACAGACTTTCTGTTACTTGTTTTGTATATGTAAAAATAATACTACTCGTCCCACAGTAGCACCAGTGTGTCGGGTCACCAACATACTGACCAGTACACATTTCATACGATTAAATTCACACAAAGTTGTAAAGATACAAAACTGTCCTTCCACATTGCATGGTCTCCCAACCACCCTGGTTTCCGCCGTTTTGCTTCATGCATGTTATTTGTATGGTGCCCCATTTCCCTGCGAGCAACGGGTTGGTTAGCTGAAGTGCCTACATGGGAGCAAATAAGCTAAACTTCTGACAAGTATCGTTCTCATGAAAAAAGGCGGAGAAGTATACAAATATATGCGATGTCAAGGCTATTGTCGCCAAACGATGCAGCAGCTGCAAATTTGTCCGATTTGAATGCGGGCGCATCCGTGCGTCTCTCTAACTGCACCTTCCCCCCCACCCCCCTTTTGTCTTCCAGCATTTTCAGAAGGTGATCCCCCACCAGTTTGACAGCTGCCCAGACAAGCTGATCCTCAAGGCATACCAGATCAAGTACAACCCCAAGAGAATGAAGAAGTGAGAGTCCTCGTTAGGTCATAGCCCGGGGCAGGAGGCTTATCCAGCAAAACCCAGAGCCAAAGAACTCCTTTTGGTGTGGCTCATTTCAAATATGAAGCCTTTGTTGTTTCTCTCTATTCACATCAGGCTGGAGAAAGAATATACAACCATCAAGAACAAAGAAATGGAGGAGCAAATTGAGATTAAGGTGTGTATTTTTTATGACATTCATCCTTGGAAAGGGCACTTGGCATCATTTACTTTAGCAATCAATGAAAAAATATTTTGTATTTAAAGACAGTATTATTTTTGTTTTATTAAATAATGTAAAACCAGTATCCTTTTATCTGAAAGAATTTCCTTTTTCTTGGGAAACACGACATCACATTTTCTGAACTTTATCTGTTTGTTTTGTTTGTTTTTTTTTTGTTTGTTTATAAAGTTGTCAAGTCTGTGAGAGAATAATTTTTCTAATATTTTTGAAAATTGTGGTAGCAGTGATATTGGTCTATAATTTGTGAATAATTTAATTATCTCGATGTACTTCTTGGCTTAAGACATTTGTTAGGCATGTTTTCTTTTATACTATTACATGGTTTTGGGGGTGGCTCTTATAATAGTGCCTTGACTAGAATTCTTTTTTTTTTTTTTTTTTTTTTTTTTTGGTGAGACCATGCTCGTAATTCAAATCCCATCTCAAAACAGCACTCGTATTGAAATGAATGGAATGCCATGAATCTTTTCCAACCCCCTTTCTCCTAAATGCAAATGACTGTCACATTGTGTGTAGAAAAAAAATCCCACTCAGCGAGTGTTCCACGTGGATGCCAGCAAGTGTTGCTTAACCAACTTGGTAGTGAACCGAGCCATGTTCCACCCAACAGATGTAATCATCAGAATTCTTAAAGGGGGAGTCAACTCCAAGATTTTCCTTACAGTAGTTTGTTCCATTAGCCTCCACGAGTCCAAACACAGCAGTCTGATTAATATTACATTATTGCGTTTGTGGAATGCGAGTTAAGCCGTAACATGCACCAGATTTTTTATTTATTTTATTTTTTTTTGTCAGCTTCAAAAATCATGTGAGTAGTTGTGATTGGTCGTGCCTTAAGCAACCCGTGTCGTTTTCACTTGACAGCAACTGGCAAAATGGCTGCCCCCTGAAATTGAACCCCCCCCCCAAAAAAAAAAAACGGGTGGAATTTACTGTTTAACGCTTCCGCCAACACAATGTAATCCGAATGTTTTGATTCATGGAGAAATATTGAACAGAGTGCTGTCTGGAAAATTTGGGGATTAACTTCCAATTTATTGTACATTAGCATACAGCTTTGTAACTGTCTGCTCTTGTTTTCAGAGGTTGCGCACAGAAAATAGGCTGCTGAAACAACGGATTGAAACCCTAGAGAAGGTAAGAGATGGACTTTGAGTGTGTACAGAATGTAGTATTACAGCCAGTATTCGTTTTCCTCCTCTCTAAAATGCTATTTTCTGACTGATCTCCATGCTGCCTCTTTTCTTCTTCACCTCTTCTTTTTACCCCCCTTCCTCATATTGGTTCGTTTTTCTTTTCTCTACTTTTTGGCTTTCTCTGTGGCCTCTTTTTTTTTTCTCAACGTCTTGTTGCATCCCTTCATTACGTTGTAGGAGAGTGCTGCTCTGGCAGATAGACTCATCCAGGTAGAGTACTTGAATGAACCATTCTCCTGCTCACCTCACAGTCCTCTCCTCAACTCTTGCCCAACCTTAACGAACATGCATGGAAAAAGATTGTTTTTGGGTTTTTTTATTGTGAATATATTCAGTCCACAAACATATCTGCATGTTTGTTTATTGTATTAAATGCTTATCAATTATTAAATGCAGTGGAGATGCTATGATGACACTGTGCAACTCCTGCATGTGGCATGTAAATAACATTTTCTGATGTTAAAATTGGGATGTAAGTACACTAAATATTTGGCCTCTTTTTTTTTGTGGGAAGTTAACATTTTGTGCAACATTGGGGATGTATTTTTCCTCACATTTGGGCATTCTGCTGTAAATCGTTTTTGTCATGGCTGCTCATCTTAAAAAAAGCAAATTACCTTTCTCCCGAATAACATAAATATTCCTTTAAGTCTTGAACATGTGCCACTCACCTGTAAGCATGATATTGTTATGAACCCCTTACCCTATATTGATGTGTGATTTGTATCTTAAGATTCCACATTTCAAATGCTGTTCTGGTGTGCCGTTTCAGGGCCAGGTGACCAGGGCGCAGGAAGCCGAGGAGAACTATGTGATTAAGCGCGAGCTGGCGGTGATGAGGCAGCAGTGCAACGCAGCCAGTGAGGGTCTGGAGAAGGCGCAGGACACCATTCGAGAGCTGCAGCAACAAAAGGTCATCACTGGAAGCAAAAAGTAGAGAACGCTTAGCATGAAACGGAAAAGAAAAATGTGCAAAACCAACAAGTCCGCTAACCTAATGCTAACACATGAGGCAAAACATCGTCGATGCCTGTTCTCTTCTGGCCAAAAGAAAAATGACGCAAACGTTCAGTCCTTTGAAAATCAACAAATGTCAAAGCATTTCTTTTTTTTAAATGGTGCCATTGCTTTGGTTCTGTTAAATGAAGCACCAATCTGCTTCGACACCCTCGACTAGAGTTGAATCACCTCCGGGCTCGAACTCTCTTCTTCAATAAACAAAAGCCGAGATGGCCAAAGTGACACGTTCACTCTTTTACTCAACGCTACGCTTTTGTAATCCACCTCAGAGGAAAGCAATAGCCGTGCAGTTTGCAGTGTAACGCTGGCATGGAAAAATAGGTTTCTGATTTTTTCTCTGTGTTGCGGCCTTCATTCTAACCTAGAATTGGTTGGCCTCAAATTTTCTGGCTGATATATGATGACCTTGAAAATGTTTTCTGAATGTTTTTTTTCTTATTGTAAAGGAAAACAGTTATACACACACACACACACACACACACAAAATCAGAATTTCTGATTACCAATTGAACATGTCACAGGTGTACCATGCAGCTTTTTATATTCATTCAAGCCCCAAAATATTGTAAAATGAATACCGCTGACAAAACCTACAAATATCTTTGTGCAGTATTGATACCAGCAGTAGGTTTCAAAAGATTGTGCAGGTGGGCGAAGTATATGAATATATCACAAAAATAGAAAATATCAATCGCTCTGAGTGGTCACGTGTCCTAAATTTGATGGAGGTGGCCATCAAAATCAGCAAAAAAAAAAAAAAAGTATTATATTTGCTTTCCTGAACCTGTAGCTGTTTGTCATGATGCGTTTTGTCATACATGCAGTATGACCAGTGTATCACTATATTTCTGTTCAGTTTCTCAACGATATCGCTTGTTGTCTGTAACTCCGCCGCAATGTTTGTTTCAGTACACGGAGCCGTTTGTGAGCAGTCTGCAGACGGAGCTGGAGCAGTCCAAGCTGCGTGAGGCCGAGCTGCTGGGGGCCATGAAGGAACTGCAAGACAAGGTGCTCGATTTGGAGAAGGTGAGCTGGCGGAATTAGCACCAGCGAGGGATTTCTTTGCATTGACATGAATTTGCATAGATAGCAATTGAGTTGAGTGTCAGTCTCAATAAAAGGACACAATGTCATTGATCACAGTAGTTCGATTCAAAGAGTCAACCTGTGTATTCTATAGATTCATTAAACACAAGGGGAAATTATTTTTGTTCTCACTGAAAATGACAAAAAAATGTTGGATTACCTCAAATGGTTGTGCAAAAAAAAAAAAAAAGTTATATCATCATTTATGTTCAGCCTAGGGCTGGGGAAAAAATGTCAACCAACTCGATATTTTCGCCCACCAAAATGAGTCAAAGCAAAAATTTTGTGCCTCAAGACTAAAAATGTATTTATTTATTTATTGCGATGTGTGGAACCACTGTTCCGTTTTGTTTTGGAGGCCGTGGGGGTGGGGGGGGGGGTTGTTTGTTTTTAAAAATAAAGCTGTTGAACCACAATTCAAAAGCCATGTGCTTTATCCGTTCTTACTTTTGTCAGATTCAAGCTACTTCTGTGACCACTGTGGGGTTTTCCCTAATGAACAAAAGGGGTACCAACAATTTGTCTGTTGTGTATATCATGAAATATTCCGCTGGATGTTTGCTGTCGACACCTTGTACTGACCTTAACTATTTTTTTATGTTTGTCCGCCCCCCCCTCCCATATTCCAGCGGAGCAGCTGTTTGCCCGATGAAAACAACATGGCGGCTTTGCAGGAGGAGGTGAAGCAAATGAAGCTGAGGGAACTGGAGACGCTGCGCTCATTCAGAGAGATGCAGGACTCTGTCACAGAGCTCAACCAGCGCTGGCAGGTAACACACAGTGAACTGTTGTTTGTTTGTTTTATGGTGAAGATCTGAAGGGGAGGTTTGTTTTTTGTTGTTGTTTTTTTTTTACCACTTTGTCATGCGTGTTTCAGCAGCATCACATGTCCCGCAGTGGCAGCACAGGTAGCGGCGGCAGCCACTGGAAGGAATCGCCAAAGAAGAACGCCATGAATGAGTTACAAGATAAGCTGATGACTGTCCGCCTTAGGGAGGCGCAGGCACAGGCTGAGCTGCGAGAGGTCAAACTGAAGGCCGTGCAGCTGGAGAGCCAGGTCTGACACTTCTAGCCATGTCGTTTCGATACCGTTTGTTGGTCGTGAATATTCAGGCGCTTATCCCAGCTGACTTAGTCTTCAATTAACCTGACGCATGATTTTGGGAATGTGGGAGGGTGCCAGGTCTCACGTGGTTTGTGTCCAATTACATTAATGGGGAGCATTGCGGTAAAAGGAGGTTCCAAATGTGAATCCTACGAAGCATATCACATGATCTGATTCGATTTGTTTTAATTATGAAAGAAAATTCCTTGAATTCTCAATGTCACGTTTCAAATGTAAATATTTAAGCAAGTGGTCCACTCAACTGACTTGAGGACAGGCAAGTTTAGTTCCCACTCGGTGATTGTGTGAGTTTGAATGGTTATCTGTCTTATTTTTGCGCCCTGTGATTGACTGAAGACCAGTCCGGGGTGTCAGATCGAGCTTTGCGTGTCTCTGAACAGGCTAAGTGTACAAAAAACTGGCGGATGTACTCTTGGCTGGTTTCTTTTGTACCTGTGTATAGAAGAAGCTGAGCACAAACTACAAGGAAAGTTCGACAATGAAAACACAGGTCAAGTTGACCAACCTACTAGTAAGTCGTAATTGACTGGTTTTCACTTCGTCTGTTGTAGAATACAATCCACAGCAAACTGATCGGGCGCCATGAGCAGGAGCGCTCGGCCCTCCAGGATCGTCTCCAGATGTTATCCAATCAGAACAAAGCTCTTCAGGCCCAGCTCAACGAGATGAAACGGAAGCAGGCCGAATGGGACTGCAAGGTGTGATGAGAGGGGGTGGTGGAGAGTGAGTCATTGGGGAGGGAAATCGCAGCTGATACAGAACCAGCCTTCAGTAAAAACGGCACCGAAAGCATAAAAGTCGTCGTGAGGATAATCAGCCCCCCCAAGTCCCGAGCGGAAATTGACTCCTCCCTCCATTGTCCTCTTCACAGAGTAAAGAGGAGGTGATGGCCGTACGACTGAGGGAAGCCGACAGCATGGCCGCCATGGCCGAGCTCAGGCAGAAGATAGCTGAACTCGAAATACAGGTGAGGATGTTTGGCTTTCAAAACTCACCGAAAAGATTCTCTTGCTTTTCAGGAATCCCAATGGGCAGAATCTAGTGTGTTTTGGACCAAAAGAACGATTCCCTAAATGTAATTCCCAGGAAGTCTTTCGGGGCCAAAAGAAGCCCCGGCTAGAGGGATGTTCTCCCGAGAGGCCCAGAGATAGCTTCTTCTTTCTAGCGCCGCCTACATTGAGATGTTTGACACTCACTTCTTCTCCTTTATCTGATACACATAAATATTCTGCGGACCTCGGGCGACGCAACAATGGCCCAAGAAGTCAAAGTTCTTAGTCCTCAAACACTTCAAGTGGACCCCCCTTCGCTGTGGAGTGGACCTTGACTGTGCGTGCGTTTGTGCGTGTTTCAGAAGGAGGAAGGACTGATCCAAGGCCAGCTCAACCACTCTGACTCCAGGCAGTACATCAACCGGCTTCGGGACCAGATCACTGAACTCAAGAATGAGGTCAGGCACACTCACAAGTTTCAACCGTTAGTCGAGATGAAGCGGTAAGAAATGCTCTTTTGCAAATGTCATTCGAAATGTACCACAAAGTAATCTCTGCAGTACGTAGGTGTCATACAGGAAGCTCTGCTCGCCATCTCAACATGCTGCTTCTGTGCACATAGTTGGAATTGATTCTCCAACAAATGTCAGTCTCTGTCTTCCGTATGACGCTTCCTAAAAATCCAGACAACAGGCTATTTTTATTTTTTATTTTTTTTTTATTCCGAATATTCGTTAAGATGAGTATTATTTATGACAAATTAATACATTTGCCACGTTTTATTTATGTCACTCACTATGTAGGTTTATTTCTCCCGAATGGTTGGTTATCTGTTTAATTTTTTTTTTCTGTTGATTTACGTTCTGAAGACGGCTCAGCAGCAATTTGTCTCTTTTTTTGGGGGGGGCACAACTGTATATTTCTGTAACACCATATTTAGATTTTTTTTTTCCCCCCGAGCAGCAGAAATGTTTTCCAAATCATATAGAGGATGCAAGAAGATGCTTAAAAATTGAACCCCAAACTTTAAAATAGTGCAGCGCTCCCTCACATATCTTGCACCGTTAATTTGGATTCACACTAAAACCCACTTCCACCCACAAACATTTCCACTTTTGTCGTTGTTGAAACCCCTTTGCCTCCTTTTTAATCGGGTCGCCTCATCATTGAAGCATGTCCTTTACTTTTATGCAGTCGTTCTGGCACTTGTAAGACTTACAAGTCACGTTATTAGGGGGATGCCTGCACAATACCATAACATCCATTCCAAGCCTTATATTGAAAATTGTAACTGAATAACAATGTTCACTTTTGAGAGCAAGTCAGTGGATGACTGGGATTCTCAACCGAAGGGGCGTAAAATGAGACTGTTGCTTTTTAGCCCCCTTCCCACGCATCGGCTGACTGCCTTTGTCACCAAAGCTGTGGTTTTATGAAGGAGACTGAAACTCGCGTTTCAATGAAAATGCGTTGTGTAAAATCTCAGTTGAATCGTTTTTTTGTTTTTTATGCTTGACTCATATTTTGAGTGCTGATGCGGTGAGAAAGAAATTCTCAAATTATAGTTGTCACGCTGTGCAGGTCGAGTCACGCGATGTGGCTTTAAAAATTATTGTTGTTGAAAAGATGATTTATTTTTATTATTTTTTTTTTTGCACCATTAAGTGATATGAAAGACCCTGTGTTTTATTACTTAAAAATGCTACAATTTGTTTGTCCGCAAATGCCATTTGTGGTTGTTTAATCCTGTGGTGCTAGCGGCCAAATCTCATCTCAAGTCTCATGCCGTCATGAGTGTAAGAAGAGCACATCGACGCAGATGTGGCGCTATGTGCTAAAGAGTTTTTAAAGACACAACGTTTTATGACAAGAAAAAAAAAAAAAACGTAAATTGTGGGCGAAAAAAAGACCTGAATAAATAGCGGAAAAAAACATGCACCCTGAAAATAGTAATTGCCTATAGGTGCCCCAAAAAGAAGCTCCTCTACTCATTCCAAGTGACTCCTTGGCACCAAGATACACTCAGATGGTCCTAAAGCAGCACTATTATTGATTTGGCCCAGATCACAAAAATGATGAACCGGTGTAGGGTTTTTTTTTTTTCTTTTGAACTCAGTCGACCACTGCATAGTCATAGTTTGCCGTTTTTAAATTTTTTTTTTTTTTTTTTGTCACAAAATTTGGAAGACATGGTCATGCTACTCAAGAATTTCCAAAATTTCATTATACTTCTTAGTATATGAAATGGAAAAAAAATAGATAAAAAAATAGAACATACATGGTTTTATTTGTATCTTAAAAGCAACAACAAATATTTTTCTTAATGGAAAAAAGGAGGACGCAGGTGAATATTTACCTCTCTTAAAGGCTGTGTCCAAAAGGGTTTCTTTTGGGACTCCTGGGAAATGCTTGACCATGTTTGACCTGAAACAAAGCACAAAAAGATCGGTCAGCATCCGAAATTTAACCGGCAGATAGTGTAATCACAATTGTGGCGTGACTCCACATGGAGATCCAATATTGGTAATATTGCAGACACGCGCAGATCGGCGGATCTGTGAGAAGGAGGGCTACACTGCTGTGGGAGTGGTTAGAACAAAGTCAGTTATGGTCAATCAAAATGGCTTCTTTCATTCCCTTTAAATGCGGCATGCTAGTTACACACTTGAGTCTTGACACAGCGGAAGAGCATTTACGCCATGAAGTGGGCACTTGGAGACCGCCCGCCACCCATATTTGTTTGTTTGTGACGGCCAGCCCCCCAAAAAAAACTCACATCTCCTCATCACCACCATGTACCACCCACTGGAATGATTTAAAGAATATAATACAATGATTTAGAGGGTTTGGTGCCGGCTGTTCAGATGTTTATGAATGAAAAATGTCACGTTAGACCAGCTGTCTATCATGCAGCTGTCAAGTTAGTTATTGTCTGAGCAGGCATAAGGTTTAATTGACTTCTACCACCAAACTGTCATCAGGCGCACCTCCAAGACACTCTTTCTACTGCACCGGCCCGCCCAGTTTGGCGGAGACCGGTCTGCCGAATTGGCAAACATACGCGGCGAGCCTTGTGTTCGCACAAACACCAGGATCCACTGGCTTTTTTGCAATGCTGTCTCCGAAGATACGTGTGTTAGCATTTGTGAGCAGGATTACGCCAAAAGAGACAAAACTACAAAAATCTGATGCCAATTCAGGAGTTTCCAACATGACCAACGTGGCCACTTGTCCTTCCCAAGAAGTGGGAAATGAATACTGAATGGGATACAGCGAGGCTTGGTACTTGTCTGTTTCTTTTATTAGCATCAAACGTTTACAAATTGTCACTATTCAATGAAAAGCATGAGTCACTTTTTCTTTGGTCTGCATAAATCTATCTAATCTTAATGACAGTTGTTGTAAAAATAAATGCTTTTTTTTTTTTTTTTTTTTGTTCTTTACTTATGTGCGTGACAACAACCAGTCCAGGACTTTAGTCGGTCCTTCTGCTTTTCAGATTTATGATGAATGTTTTTTTGTTTTTTCAGACACAATTATCTCTACTTCTACTTATTCCAAGCAAGGTGTGCTCTGTACTTGGGCCATTTATGATTGGTTTCCTGGTGACTTGTTGCGCAATGACCAAACAATCCAACCGCCAGCGATACTTTCACTTTCACGTTTGAGCGCGCCAGACTATCTGACACAATATGTTGCCCTTTTTGGGCAATGTCAGTGCCTTTTTTGGCGGGCGGGCAATCACATCACAGGCCGTGTTTTTCATTTGGACATCTACAGATATATGAAATCGGAAAAAAGAAAAAGGATGCCCCTTGATCAGACACTGCTGGACTACAATCAATTCAGAGGGATCAAAAAGAGGTCTTTCCAAGTGAAGGACACACACACACACACACACACACACACACACACACACACATGCGTGAAGGAGACAG